TTCGGTTGGAGGCCATTCCTGTTCGGTTGGAGGCCATTCCTATTCGGTTAAAATATTCTCCAAATCCACGCAAGCTTCAGGCAAGTCTCACGGTCCCGAAGCAGAGGCTGCGCAGGTCGGGAGGGGTTCGGCTGTGAGGCGTCCTGGAAACTTTTCGAGGAGGGGCGTCCTTGACGAACCCCGCATATGATTCACTTCGTTCCTACATTTGCAAGGAAGTTCCTACATTTTGAAGGAAACTTAGTGTTTTGTTTTGGCCTCACAAAAGGATTTCAGTTTTGCACAGGCCCGAGACATACAAAAGCTCTTTCGAGAGGGACGAGTCTGGAGCCGAGAACGGGTGTGGTTGTTTGCTGGCCGGGTACTTTTGGGCCTCAGTCCACACCGCAACGGGCAGACGGTCTGACGAACACACAGCATTTGTATGCATTTGTATAAAGCACCTGAAACGAACTGAAACGCCGTTTTTGCACTTTTTTGGCTACTTGTGCATTAGCTAGCGATGCGCTAGTGATTCGATTGATTTAACTGCATCCAAGGCCGAGGATGCGTTTCAGCTTGCCTTGCAGAAGCAGGGGGAAGCAAGATACCAGGACTTCTTAGAGTCCTGCCGGCAATGTTCGGCTCGTTGGAACACATGTGGACAACAACAACAGCAGCAGCAACAACAACAACAGCAACCACAGCATCCTGTGATCAGCTGTCCAAATAGTGCCAGGCCTCTATGCTCTTTGGTACAGCCTGATCAGTGGCTCATGGAGGACAGCTGTGCTTTGGAAGTAGCAATTTCGCCATTCGGTGCAGAACATCGTTGCAAGATTAGCCACAGCATAACACTTCATTTAACTTGAAGTAAGTCACAAGCAGCACTTTGGGTGGTTCAGAGTTGTCTTGGGAGGAAACTTGTTCCAGCCAACATCTTTCTGAATCGTGTAAAACTCAAAACAATATTTTTTCAAAGTCAAATGAGAGCGATGTGCCCTGTTGTCAGAGGCATAGCGCGGAAGATGTCCTGCGAAAACGATAAGAAAACCACCGCACGCAATTTGGAAGACCCGTGCGCACATGACATGAGCGCGGGACACCAGTTGACATGCCCATCCACAGGAAGTGACATTCCTCCATGTTGTGTTGTTTGGAACCCCCAGCAACAATACAGCATTTGACCAGGATCCGACAGGAATGGCCCTCAGTCCTCAGGCCAGAGCTGCGAAACGGTGCTTTTACAAAACACCTGTTCCTTCGAGTCCAGGTTAAGATAAAGCTGATGCAGACCCTTGCACAACAGTGTGCAAATTGCGAAGAGACCGTTCTTCTGAGCAAGGCCTGACTCCTAAAAATCTAGGAACCAAATCATTAGTGCGTGAGCTATCCTGCGTACAGTAGTTAGTAGCGACCTAGCTACTACTAGATACCTCTAGCTACTACTAGCTACCTCCTAGCGGCCTACCAAAAAAGGTTTCTGAATGGATCCTTCATGCGGCGACAGGTTGAGTGGATCCAAGAGCTTTGGTTGGCTCTAGATCTTGGCGAACCGGTCGAGAGCACAGTTGTGCATCTGTCAGAATGTCTCATTGTCTATATGCTTAGAAAGGGCGCATCCTGAAGGACCCTCTGAAAAGCACAAGTTGTAAAGAACGATTCAAACACCATTCCAAATCCAAGCCGAGCACTGTCTTCAATAGTGCTGGCTGTCTTGCGAACTGTAGGCCGTGGAGAAGCAAGGGAAAAGGCTCGTGACAGAGCTGATCGAGGCAGGCTTCAAGCACAAGAAACGGTGAGCGAAAAGAAGGTTGTCCCAAATGCGAAGCTTGTGCATATCAATCAGAAATTCACTTGCAGCTTCTATCATCTGAAGACCTGTGAGCTTTCACTCTTTCAGCAAACGGCTTTGTTGCTTTTGTATGCTTTTATGTGTTTCCCAACTCATACTTGATGCTTTGTTCTCACTTGACCGCCCAAGAGTGTGAGGATCAAGGTTGCACTAAAGAGGCTGCTGCAGGTGTATGGAAGAGGTTGTGTTCCGCAGGTCATTCTTGCCTTCCCAGAATCCTGACTAGTCAGTCATTGCCATGGTCGTTGTGGGTGTTGTTGCTGTTGTAATTAACTGCAAGTAAGGTTGTAAATGGTGTGATGATATGAAGTACAGCCCTTTTGGCCCTCTCCCTGGGTCATAGCAGAGCAGTTTCCACCCCGGACCAAGCTTGTCATGTTAAGCATTGGTCTTACAATAACTCACAGTGGAAACTCCGCCGGAATTTCGTTGGGAACGACCGCGTGGATTTGCTAAATAGTAGCGTCTTTGCTCCTAGTAGCGATGCCAGGAGCCCCTAGTAGCGTCCTTGCTCCTAGTAGTATGGCCAGGAGCCCCTAGTAGCCTCCCTGCTCCTAGTAATATGAAAGTCAGGCTTGATATGGCTTTATACATAAACTTTCTGGCTGTTGCCTTTACCGTGGTTTTGATACTGGTGGGCCACTGGCAGGGATTTGGCAGGTTAGGCTAGGCAACAAGTTAGCTGTCATGGCTTGGTGGGTCGGGAAGGGCCTGGGGGCCATTGCTATTAGGTTGGAGGCCGTTTCAGGATTATTTTGGCAATGAATGTGAAACCAAATGTCCTATATCCGAAAGCGCATTGCTGGTCACCCCTTGTGCATCAGAATAGGCCAGAACAAAGAGAAGGATATGCCGTAAGCTAGATTGTGGTCCTGGTGCACGGATTTGAAGATGCACTGATCAAATTGTTGTGGCCTCGTTCTTTACTGCCTACTTCTGAGAGTCATAAACGCGAGAGGAAGAAACAGGAAAAAGGTGATCCACAGGACAAATAAAGCAGAACAGAGTAGAGAAAAATTAATGCGGAAAGAACTGTCCGACAGTTGCTTGACAGGCAAACCTCCCTTTCTTGTGGGACAGGCCACTTCTTCCAGGCTGTAGCCTCCTGTCTACCCTGGGAATCAGCTGTGGCATATTTCTAGTTTTGATTCGTATTTTGTTTTTCTTTTAACTTGTGTCCATAGACTTAAAATCCTTTGGCCTGTCTGTTACTTTCTATGCTTTGGGTTAAATTCCTACTCCCACTTTGCAGTAGCTTGGATTCCTTGTTGATTGTAGGTTTACATACTGTGCATACAAAACTATTTTCATATACGTTTTCTTCTATGTTTTGCCATACTTTCGAGTAGGGATCAACTTGAATTGTCTGTTGTTTGGATTATATACAACAATATATTCTGCTTTTTCCTTGTATTACACTCTCTTTTTCCTGACCCTACAAGTTATCCTCATTTGGCCGTCTTCCCGGTCTTGTACGCTGCTTGTTAACGCCTGCCAGAGATCACACACACATTAATTGCATGTTGGCTCAACCCACGCCTAAGCTCAGAAAGTGCACTGTAAGGGTTCTATTGCAAGGTATTGGGTGTGTTTGGGACATGTAGATTATCACACATGTTTTGCTGGTTTGCCTTGAGCAAGGGAGCGTAAGGTCAAGGAATGAAGGCATCTTGCCTTCCCCACTGTGATAGGGCGGTTAATTTGTGGTTGGTGTGAGAGAGAGGGAGATGGGAAGCCAAAAGAGCAGGTTTACCAACAGGTGGGATGCCGTGCAGGCCATTGGTGCTAAAGCGTCCTGGCGCATGCCAGAGAAAGATGGTCTTGGTGTATCTTGGTGTAAGTAAGAGATTCTTGGTTAAGGCAGTTAACGCAGGATGCCTCGAGCGTACAAAAATCATCGGTTGCAGCAGCCTTCTGATGGAATGAGTGCTGATGCAAAAGGGTTTGAATTTCTCAAATCCGAGAAAAGCTAGGCCCGGCTGCAAGTGGTAAACATGTGCATTGCGGACACAAGCAAGGACTGCAACATCCCAATGTTCACTGCAGCCTTAGGAAGTTTAGGACTTCATTACAGCCGTGGGCAAAGAACGATTTGCCTTGATGCGTGATAGCCTGATTTTTTTTTGTCTTCAACAGAAGGATTGTGCCCATCAGCACAGTGTCCAGTGGCATGTTTCAGGGAGCTCACTACCACTGTGCGGCAGTGAAGAGTTCAAAGCAGCGCTTTGTGTTTGGCGTGCTGTGAACGCCCTCTTTAGTTGGAAAAAGCAAAGGTTCAACTTGTGCTCAGTGTGGGTGAGGGCTTGCTATATATGCTTCCTACAAAACTTACGGAGGGGGAGAGAGAGAGAGAGAGAGCGAGGGAGGGAGGGAGGGAGGGAGGGAGAGGGAGAAGTGGTCATACAATACGTGCCCCATCAACAGCCAAACGCTGCTGGGCTCTCTCTAAGAACAAGGTGAAAAGCAAGTGCGCGGTGAAATGCAAAATTTAGTGGCTACAGCATCCGCAGCATTTGAGGTGCTGTGAAAGAGTTCTGGCTCTTTTAAATCAGTGTTTTCCATTTGCATGGGTTAGCAGACTGACCATGTTCAAAACAAGATGTACATGGCAATAAATGTGCATGAGGTTATGCTATAGAAGTCCAAAAGCTGGGCCAACGAGTAGCATGAGTAGCATGTCCCTAGTGTGGGAAGGACAACGTGTAGCACTTGCAAGATGAAGAAGTTCTGAAGAAGTGTCATTCTAGCATTCCCTGTCCAACTTTTGTCCTAGCAGGCCCTTAATCGCGTGCAGGGTCATGCTGGAGAGCAGGCACTGTGGGATGGCGGATTGGCATGATTTTCTGCATAATTTCAGTGGAAGAGAGTGGAAGAACGCCCGGTGCTCATTTGTTGCGTCTCGCATCTCGGAAGCGTCAAGGTGCAGGTCCGCAAGCTCAAAAGAACTCTGACTCAGGCGGAAAGGGGCGAACGGCGAACGCGTGGCGAATGACGAGAGAGGTCAGAGCAACATGGTGTGGTATCAACTCGGCCGCTCTCAACATGCGTTTCAGCGTGTTTCGACATGTATTTTTGAACATGTCTGATATAGAACGAGATGGGTCCGACCAAGAGAATGGGATCTCCTTTCATGTAAGAGACTTTGCAAATTCATGTCACGAGATGGGGGCTATTTGTTTCCTCGTAAGCTCATTTCAATTTGTGGCATCTTGCGAGATGTTCCCCGCATTTCGGCCCCAAAATTTGTCGAACAAATGCTAAAGGACACGGCAATGATACAGGGTCAGTGGAGTGAGTATTGATTGGGAATCTGCAGGCTGAGCTCAGTGTCCTTTGCTTGCCTTCTCCCTTAACTCGTTGAAGTGGAGAGGCGTTGCCGCAAGCTTTTCCCTCATTCCTACTGTTGCGTTTCTACACTTCAAAAAGCATACATTTCTTAGATGTTTTCAAGTGTTGGTGCTCAACCTTGATGAGGTGGTGAGTTTGTAAGTGTGGTGAAGTGGTAGGACGTTTCTCGCCCTGGTGGTATGCTTGTGATGCAGTGGAAGGCTCTCACCGTCGGACCTTGACTTCCTCCTGCCCTCTACCTCTCCTATCCCCTTTAAAAGAACACAAGAACACCTCTACAGTGCTGTGACTTCCTGTCCCCTCCAGTGACCGTAAAAGACTGTCGGAGTTTGATGGCATCTGCTGCTTGGTTTCCTAGGCGGTGCGGATGATGACGCGTGAGTGATGTGCATAGTTAGCTTCCCTTCTCCAACCGAGAAGTGGGTTTAGAATGGACAGCCCATTTGCTCACGTATCCAGCTGGAGCTGCGGAACACTGCTAGAATCATAGTATGGTTGCTTGAGCCAGAACGGACTGTTGTTGTTGGCCCTTCTGAGCAAACGGTCACGAGCAAAGCTTAAGGTACTGTTGGACCAAATGTGCTTTCACGGTTGAAGTGGTAGCTCTGAAGAACCCGCTCCCGGGCTTGCATCGGCGCAGCCACTGCTGGAGGGCAAAAAGGTGCACTGCAAGCGCTGCCTAGTTGTGAGTCTAAGGAGTGGCCTGATTACTTCTTTGCGTGTGAGTGTTTGTTCTTTTTCTTCGAGTACAATCTTTGTGCATTTGGCCCGAAGTAGAACTCATTGCCAATCCAAGTTCGTGACACGAGTCAAGTCGACGCCCGTTGAAGTGGGGTCTGATGATATCGAAGACATCAAGGTGGGCAAGTTCATGTATTTCATGGGTGATAGCGGCGTGGAGCGGAACTGCTTGGGAGAAGTGCTTGAAATGGACGGCGCATCGCGTCAAGTGAAATTTGGTGAGGTGACCCTCACAGTTCCAGCCAGCGACCTAGACGTATGCAACTTGCAGAAGGGCGCCTATGTTGTGCCTTCTGATGATGTTGTTAACCCGGACCAAGGTGCTTGAACTTCATTGATGTTGAGCCAAGTGGTAAGGATTGCCTTGCTGTGGAATTCGGGGAGCAGGCCATGAGTGTTTCTCCACAAGACTTGATAAAGCGTGAGATCCAGAAAGGCACTTGTATCTATTGGAGGAAGTCTGACGCGGACTTGCCACTGAAGCACATGGGGGTGGTCCTGAAGTGAAGGTGCAGTTCCCGAGCGGAACGCGGCGCTTCAAAGCAGGATCTCCTGACAGCTCCGATTCAACCAGACCACTGTGTATGGTGGATCAAGTCAGATGATGATGTCCCCGACTGGCCGTTACCAGATGGCTTTCCCAAAGGCTCCTGGAGTTTTAAGCGAGGACTTGGTGTCGCCAGAGATTCAAGTGGGTTGCTGGGTGACCTGGACCAAATCCGGTGACGACATTCCACCAGGCATGGTGGGCAAGGTGACGAGTGTCAAGCCGGAAAGTGGCAGGGTCAAAGTACGGTTCCCCGCAGGCACCTGGGCCTTTGAAGTGGAGACAGTTCCAGGTTCAGCCAAGAGATTGGGTCACCATCAATGAAAAGGACGGAGTTGCTGGTGGCTTTGGGCAAGAACATCGTTGATGTGAAGCGGACGCAGGGACTTGGACAACATGACGCCAATGATCTCCAGAAAATCAAGATCCAACAATATGATCGAGTTCAGCTTGTCCCTGCTGTGACGCCGTCAATGATGGAGAGATCGGTGTTGTGTTGGACTTGGTTTTCGCTTTGGACAAGGAGTGGCGCACAGATTTGCAAGTGGACTTTGAAAAAGCCGGGCTCAATGTGGCACTCCACTCGCTCAAGAAGGGCATCGACTTGGACAGCCTGAACATGATGAAGGCCAAGTTCAAAGCCGATGATCACAATGGTGATGGAAAACTCTTGAAGGATAGATAGTTTTTGGCACTTTTGACCCAACTAGGCTTGCAGAAGTCCAGATGAGTTCTTTCAGTATGCCTTCGGCTCGGGAGGGGAAAAGGAAGCGGTCCTGAGTGCCTCTGGAGCAGCAGGAAATTGTGAAGCAGCTACAGGGCTGCATGGTGAGCGTCAGGGTGGAGTACGCACCCAAATGGGCGCCTCCGGAACCATGGTCACCATGTCTGGGTGATAACCCAAAAGCGTGATCCAGGTCTTGAATCGCAGTATCTGGGTTTGTTTGCGGCTGAGCTCAAGACGCAGGACAAAGTTTAAAAAGAAGGAATCAGGCCACACGGTAAGCAGCAGACCACCAGTGGGCGTGGGTGGGAAATGCATGTAGGAACGCCAGAGAAGGCCAGTAAGTAAAAGGATTCCTGGGAGCACAACACTGCGTTGCGTTGACACCGTGTCGCATTTCTATTGCTTGTGTACACCGTCCATGCGGTCAGTCATAGTAATGACCTCGATCGTCGTCCGCCCTGCTGACAATGTCATTCCAGCACCCCAGGCGTCAACAACTTAGCAGCGAAAAGCGCTGCTGTGATGGCCTCCAACCTAATAGCGGTGGCCTGGATGCATTTGGTATTCTTTGTTGCCGCACAGGTGCCGTCTTGGTCCGTCTTGGCCATGATGGCTTCTCTGTCAATTGGCGGGCTCAAGTCCGAGGAGCATGTAGTGAAGACTTTGTGCCACTCCAAACCATCTATTGCTGCTGATGCCTGCACTTCTGTACTACAGTAGAAAGGCTGGGCAAATTTGTTTCTTTGAGCGCCAGGCCATGGTAGACAACGCCATTGGACGGCCTCGCAACCCCCCCACCACTGTGGTGACCCATGCGACTCAGACGCCCATCTCTAATGAAGAGATTGGTTCACGAGCTTTGATGCGAAGTCGGAAATTTCAAGCCACTTGTTTGGGGTATCTGAATTGTTATTGCTTCATTCACGCATAGTGGGCTCAGCTGCTGCGGCCAAGAGCGGTGACCAAGGCACTCAACAGGGAAAAGGGATGCGACAGAATGTCCACCTCACTAATTTGGCGAAATTTGTGTGTGCGTTCCAACTCCCTAAGAGGAGTGGATGGAAAGTGCTGTGCACCAGTCGCAGCAAAGTGCTGCGCAATGCCCAACTAATCCAAATCGTGCAGCGTGAGCCTTCTTTGCAATTTCTGTCGCTCCGAGAACGCAATCTGAAGACCATGTTCGTTGTAGTAAACCACCGGTCAAGAACCGCTGGCTTTGATCATGGGCTAGAACTGCTGCAGAGTTTCCTCTCCACAATCAATGTCCTGCGTGTCCACTGGGACAGGAGACAAGTCCAGCGCACGTCCTGGGCCATCATTTGCATTTTTTTACAGACATCTCGGGCCCCAACATCCGCGCCTCCGGCAATCCAGCGCAATTCTTCAAGGCCATCCAACCTTCTGCAGCAGCTAGACCTTCACACTAGCTCACTGTTCACAGAGGTCGCAAATTGGAAAAGTTGTGGCGCCCAGATCGTTTCAGCGTTTGAAAGGGCAACGACCTCATGGAAAAAAGAACTTCTCCCATCAAGTCGTGGGGTTCTTTTCTCAGAGTCGCTGAGCAGCAGCCTTGGCCAGCGCTTTCAATGTCAAATGTTTACACGCGTCCCATGCCTTGCCATCCAACAATGTAAACCAATGCCCGACGCTGTTCTGCTTTGACCTCCCTAAAGTTAAAAAATCAGCAGTTACGCTTGCGCCCAAGTTCTCCACTTGCGCTCGCCCTCGCCAATTTGGCAATGTGGTCTGATCTCAGAAGAGGTCCTGTCCAATCTCCACAACAAGAAGCTCCTTACAAGACAAGTGTTCGCACATGCTGCTCAGCCTTTGATGGCTGTGGCACCTTGTTGATCCTATAACGCAATGTGTTGGCCAATATGAGCCTACTTTGTTTGTGTTTGTGCTTGCGCTTGTGTTTTATTGTTGCGGTGGACCACTTGGGAGTTCCATGATGCCCGGATTTGGCTCAAGAAACCTGTGCCGCTGGAAACGAAGTGGCGACGTTGAATGGGAAGCAAACACTGAACTAGCACATGGGCCAAAGTCGCAGCCTGAGAAGCAAGAGAAAGGACATCAAGTGGCCTTTGGACACACATGCCCTTGTTGACTTGGTGCTTAAGGTATCGACGTCCTTGGAACTTGCGATGGTGCCAAAGGAACAGATGCTTTGGCCTTAGAAGTTTCTTGTCCATCAGCATACCTCCTCTTTGGTCAGCACATCGGCCGGATCGAAGCTGCAAGGAGGCATTCTATTTAAAGTGCTATTTGTACTATTTGTGCCAATGCGTAATGCCCATCAAGAATAGGAACACGAATCCCATGGAAGGGTTTTTTTCGAAGCGAACGTTGCCTGACCCAAGGAGCCTCCAAAAGGCAATGAGCCTCGTCAAGCAGGTGTGGTTCTATGATTTTCTACATCAAATACTTAATTTGCCACAAACACGTTGCATGCTTGGTGCACTCATACGGATACAGTACACAGTTCTACCACACACACTCCGAGCCCTTTCAATCACGTTTGTGCACCTCTTGAATTTCGTTTTGTAGAAGAGGCCTTTTGATCGACCTGAGAAGCAGAGCAAAAAGATTAACACTTGTTGAGGCCTCCTTGCCAACAGCGCCCATTTCAAACACAAGGGTTGTTTATGAAATCTGGTTTACAGATCCGCGGTCTCATGGTCATTGGATGTTCACAGATTGCGCGTACATTAGAAGGTCTCAATTGAATTTACCAATGAACTGACCTTGCAAAGTCGCAGGATTTTCTTGCGTTCAGCGCGCTGTTTAGTCTAGCAAAGGTTGATTCCGCTCATAAGAGTGGTTTCTCCGGTGGCTGAAAAGAGGAGTGAGTACCCGAGTATCCAAATGTTCATGACAAAACTCGCAGAGAAGACCATGATGCTATGAGCAAAGACATGCATCACCGTGGCCAGAGCCAAACCCACCAGATCTCACCACACCACTACGGTGATACAGCTCCCAAACATTCTCCAGCATTCTCAAGGATCTTCCTAGTCCTAGACAGCCATTGAGGTTTTACTGGTCCCAGTTTTCTGCACATTGTCCAGATTGCTGTCAGCTGTGCATCAGACGTGCTATCAGCATTCATATTTCTGCTATATGGTGTGTTGATCACTAATCAGGTTCTGGAACGATTTGGGAAGAAGATGTGGTGGTAGTGTGTTCTGCCTTGGAGGACGCTGTGAGACAGTGGTGTGATGTGTGTGCATGAAAGCTGTTGATGCTCTTCACAAGCATGGGGAGATCTATCAGGAAAGTGTGACGAGTGTCGTGGCCTCCGCAAATCGTGGCGGTGCACGGATCAGTGATGAGGCGTTTGGAGATTTGTCAGTGGTTTAGACTCGGTTTAGACTGTTGGCTCTCAGATTTTGTTCGGAGGTATTGCTCAACCACGAGCTTTTACAGTATTCTCGCCAGGCTGGGTTGATTGTGCTACTGTAGCTCCTCTTTTCGCCGGTGGGATAAATGGCTTGTGCCAGGGTAATCTACGTGGCGTCAGTGAAGCCTTGGAGAAGGGTGCATGGACAGAAACAAGACGACCTTTGGCTCCTTGGAAGATCTTGGAACAAGAGGCAATTTGCAGGTGCTGTTTTGCTCGTGCATGTCTGGAGCTGGTCTGCTTTTGCTTCTGGAGCTAGGTGAGATGTCAGTAGCACATGCAGTCATGTGGCGAAAGGCTTGTGCCACGATGGCGCATGATTCGCTGCAGCTTGAGGTCATGAAGCCTCAAAAGCCAGAGCCAGGCAAAAAGAGTGCCAACCACGGACTGGTTGTGTTGACTACATTGATTATATTCAAGTGTCGTCTGTTCCTCACGGCTCACTTGTGCTCTCCCAAGGCTCCCAAGATGACCCTGCCAATGTTGGCATGACCCCAATCATGTGTGAAGCTGAGCAAGAGCAAGTGCACCAAGATCCAGTGTTGGCTTGGTGTGTTGGTTCAAGTCGTGCAATGCGTGAGCAGAGGTTTTCTGCGCAGAAGGGCAAGCACCTTAGTGTGATAGCTCATGAAGCACCGAAGCACCTTATAGTGGGGATTGAAAAAGGGGCTCAAAGGGTTAGGAAAGAGCATTGTTTGCCTCTGAAGGTTCTTTGGACTGCGTCCGGCGGCTACTTCAAGCTCGGGCAGACATCAATGCAGTCGCGCTCCTGGGTGAGCAAGCTGCCACGATTCCCGATTTGTTCGGTAGGTAGTTAGGATTTTGATCTTAATGTTTGGACAGCGACATTTGTAGTTTCTTTTTAGGTGGAAGAAGATGGTTGGAGCGCACTTCACTTTGCTTCCAAAGAAGGTCATGTGCAGGTGCTCAATCGTGCATGATTTGTTCAGATGAGGGTGGACATTTGGATCGGGAGCTCTTTTTTCTGGTAATCGTGAAGGTTTGCCAGTCCCTTCTGGAAAGCAAAGCAGATCCAGAGCCGCAAGCTGAACTTGGTTCAATAGCACGGACGTCAAGTTCGTGCAGGTTTTGATTAGCCCGTCCTTCAGGCTGAGAAACATTGATGACAAGACTCCAATGGATGTGGCAGACGAGGCCCTTTCCGTGTGCTGCTGCTGCTGCTGCTGCTGGTGCTGGTGCTGCCGCTGCTGCTGCTGCTGCTGCTGGTGCTGGGTTTATGGTGTGTTGTTGTTGTTGCTGCTGCTGCTGCTGCTGCTGGCGCTAACCTGTGAGGGAGAAGCAGAGCTGAATATGTACTTTTTGCATTAGATTGTAATTAGAGGACCTCAGCTGTGAATGCCAGGATTCTTCCTTCAAAAAGACCTTTCTGGATATGACTTCCCAGAGGAACAAAGCTGCCACCTCAGTTTTATTGAAGTTTTGCTGGAACTTTGGTTTGGTGTTTAGAATCACCCTTTTCTGTTGAAACTGGCACACAGGATAAACCTTGACGGACATGATGACTGCTCTTTGAAAGGCTTCCTTCATTTTGCAGAATTTAGACACTCAGTGCATGAATGAAGTCCCTTTAAAGGCACGTCCAACCGTGCAGAAGATGTTTTGTTTAAAGTCTAGACATTGTAGACATGATCCGATGCAATGACCAATCATGGGTGGTCCAAACGCTAAGCCCATTGAGGGGTCTGATTGGAAGTGTTTGCTTCGATGGATGTTCAACAAACCAGTTCATGGTTGCTCAAATCAGGGTTTGGAGCACTTTAACAGCAGTATGCTTTAGGCCAAGAGATTTCGATTTCTCACAGGCTCAATCCTCCAGGCGTCCGATTCCCCCCCTCTCTCTCTCTGCCTCCCCTGGAGATGTGGAGGTTGGCTGCATCCTCACCCTCCATTCATCCTCGATCCATCCTGCTCCCTACTTCATCCTGATACATTGTTACATCCTTTATTATCGAATCTATGCTCTACTAGTACCGCTGCTGCTACGACTGTGATGACGATTACAACTAGGTCCACGGCTACTGGCTACTGCTAGCAAATGTGGGAATTGAAGCAACAGATGAACAAAGTAGCTTCTTTGTTCCTAGTAGCGATGCCAGGAGCCCCTACTAGCGTCCTTGCTCCTAGCAGAAAGGCCAGGAGCCCCTAGTAGCTTCTTGTTACTAGGTTAAAAGATCAGCTCAACAACTCTTCGCGTCGATACGAATTTCGGTAACACATTCACCTGTAAAGAGAAGAGAAGCCACGAGAAGAGAAGTCACTTGTTTTGCTAGTCGAGATTTTTGAAGCACTTGGAAGCTGCAGTGCTTTCCATCTGCGGATGAGCATTGTTGGTGTAGACAGGCATAGGTATCAAAAAAAAGTAAAAAGAGCATCAAACAAATTTTTAAAAACAGGATCAAAAAAAGAATAAAAAGCGAATCAAAAAAACATATTCCTGGATAGGCCTCTTCTGCTGCTCTCCTGGCCTTGTGGTTTGCGGGTCCTCTGGTAATGTGGTCCCTTGGTCCCTTGGTCCTCTGGTCCACTGGTCCTTTGGTCCCCTGGTCCCTTGGTCCTTTAGTCCACTGGTCCCCTAGTCCTCCGGTCTCCTGGTCCTCTGGTCCTGTGGTCCGCTGGTCCCCTGGTATCCTAGTCCTTCTGTCTCCTGGTCCGCTGGTCTTTTGCTCTCCTACGCCGCTCGTCTGTCGATGTCCTGGTCCCCTGCTTGTGCAAATAGAGGCTTGATTGCTTTCTACTTGAGGCAGCTCCCTGGGAAGAAAGTAGGTACTACTGCTACTGCTACCACTACTACTACTACTACTACTCCTCCTGCTGCTGCTGCTGCTACTACTGCTACTGCTACGCTGGTGCTGCTGCTGCTGCTACTGCTACTGCTACTGCTACTACTACTACTACTACCCCAACCATCCTCAGTGGGCTAGAATATTATTTTTTTGATTACCTTTTTATTTTTTTTGATCCCCGTTGAATATTTTTTTGATTCTATTTTTATTTTTACTTTGATCCCTTACCCGTGTAGACAGCCTTCAAGTATTCAATTGCACATGCCAAGGTTTCAACAGAAAAGTGTTTTGCCACTCACACTGCGCCAGGATTAGACAGGTCTTGTGACCAGTTCCTCCAGAACCGACCTTCATGGATTTGGCTTCTGAGAGGTGTGGCTTTAGTCGCTGCCAATGTTCGGGCAGAATGCTGTCCGCACAGTCCTAGCAATCCGACTTGTGAAACGCACAAGAAGGGTTCAAAAATGTTCAAAAGAGATTGAAGAATCGAAGACCTTGTCGCCCTGCGTAATAGCTGGGTTGAGTTTGGCTCAGGAACATCCATGTCTTCGACTTGAGGATATTCTTTTCCTGTTTGAAGAGGATGGAACAATTGCATTTGGGCTTCACCACCCCATCAGGAAAGCTGACAAGGTGTTTTGTTGCAACAGCTGGCCCTGCCTGTGATTCTTGCCACCGACTCGTCTAGTAGCTTTATCTTGTGGGGCTCAAGACTCAAGAAAATCAAATGGATCCATACGGAGTTTTCCCAAAAGATTGCTTGAATAGACTTAAAAGAACTCTGCACCTTTGTTTTGTGGGACTGCTTCAGACTAGAAGTATAGTGGAATCCCAAGCAGATGTAGCACAGCGCTTTCCATGGAGAGGCAAGTCGCTTTGTTACTTGCCCTGTGCGCGATGTTTCTTTGGGGCTCTTGGGCCAACACATTGCTTCTCTTTCGAACTCGCTTTGAACTTTACCTTTTCAACTACATTTTGGGACACTTCCTTGCCGGCTTCCTTATGCTTCAGGATGCTTTACCATGTTTGCATGCTGTTACTGGGACAACAGGTATGATTGTCATTCTTGTCAGTGGTCTAGCAGGCGCCTTGTTTGCCCTTGGATCCCTCCTGGCAGTTGCCTCTCTAGACCTGGTTGGCATGGCTTTGCCAACTCTTGTACTGTTGAGCATCGAGATGGCTCTCGGCATGCCTTTGCTTTTGCTCCTGGAAGGTTGGGATACACCAGCTCAACTTATGTATTCAATCTTGGGAATTTTAGCAGTGCTTGTAGCTGCCACATTAGATGCCTGGTGCCATTCGTCCCTACAAGAAGATCGTGCGAGTAGAGAGAGGGAGGAGGTTGGCCAGTGTTTGGATTTGTCCGGCCAATTTAGCAGCTTGAGCTTTTGGTCCTTCCGGGCGACATCTGCAGCTGCATCAATGATGCCAGGAAGTTTGGCCAGAAGTTTGTCCCCTGAAGCCACGACTCGTCTCACATTCCTGACACATGGCTCCGTCCTTCCGAGCTCTATTAGTGGATCACAACAGGTCCTTACGGTGCACAGCGGCACCGTCCTCAGTGGACGGCGTTTCAAGCATGCACAGCTTGGCCTTGTTTTGGCTGCAGGTGGTGGATTCTGCTTTGCTGGGTGGCCATGTGTGGCTTCAATCGTGGAAGGACAGAGTCGTTGGGTGATTTTCTCTGTGCAGTTGAATGCTTCAGCTTTTTTCTTTATCTACGCATTTGGAGCTGTGATCGCCGTGATCCTCCTTTTGCCACCACTTTGCCGTCGCCCACTTCACACTGGGGTTCCCTTGAATTTCTGGAGAAGTTATTCGGAGCTGACTATTTGGCAACACTTTTTGGGCTTGTGTGGTGGATTTGCCCATGGCCTTGGATGTTTGTTGTCCGTACAAAGCGGACATGTCTTAGGAAATGCCATGGCCATGTCCATCACGCGCTGTCAGCCCTTGGTCTGTGCAATTTGGGGAGTTCTTGTTTGGGGAGAGCTCCAAGGTGCTCGCTGCAAGACCATTCTGATCCTTCTGGCCATGCTATTGATGTTTGTTTTGGCCTTGATTTGCTTCTTCCTTTCTTTCCTTTTTGCCGGCCAGAATCAAGCATGATGAAACCACTGCAGGGTTTGGTCCAGTGCATTATTGCCTGTGCTGCAAAGTCAGCATCTAGGTTATAAAAAGGCAAGCTCATTTTCAGTTTTGACTCGGCGATGGGCTGCAGCTAATTGTCAACAAATATCACCACCAATCAACAGACCATGCTCTCGCTTTGCTGACATTCTCATCGTGTAGATGCAAACAGGCAGCAAACATGATAAACATGGTTTTGGTTTGGTTCCACATTATTCAAGGAATGGAGCATTGTGCACACGAGAAACGTTTTCTTTAAAGCTTGTTGCATTGGTCATAGCAATCGTAGAAACCTTTCCACCATTTTGACCCGGTGCTCGCATTGCCTTGCCCAAAGGTCAGGTATGGCTTGGGGTTCATTTTCCAGATAGCAACCGATCCAACCGATGTAACTTTTTGGATGTACCAGAGACAGTGATTGTTTTCTCGTTCTCCAACCCTTGGAATGTAGGTTAGCTGTGTTGCTACGAGGAACATGACTCAACATGACCATACATGACCTAGATCCATGACAACAATGGTAACAGCAATGAAGCCTTGTAACAATGTAGAGTTTGAATGACCCTGCTCTCTTCATGCGGAAATAGTAGTATTCGCTCTTCTGGATCCGATGTTGTGTGGATGCTCTTACCAATCCTTGACAACCTTGGTCTCCTCTTGCGAACAGTTGTCAACGCAACTGATCCCTTTGTTTTTTTCCTGCATCTCTTTCCTTATACGTTATATATTTCCTCTATTTTTTCTCTAATCGCCCTCTTGAGCCTCCTTGTGGCTGCAACATGCTGCAACCATTTCTGCTCTAGCTTGACCAGCAGACTGCGGAGTGGCCATGCGCCCAACTCGCGCAAAATTTCAGAGAAATGGATTTGAGTCACAATAACGCCAAGTCAACAACGCAGTGCGCTTGATCCTTTTGATCCTTACCAAACCCAGGTGAACAAAGGTGACATGCTGGCTACAATCCCGTGTGGGCCTCAGCTACCCCGTTCGGTTGTCGAAGCAGTATTGTGAGTAAGAGGCATCCTTTTCTGCTACGCTAAGGTTGCGCGCTGTCGTCGCAGCGTCTCGCGCTGTCCTACCAACGCCACAATTAAAGAGACAGGCAAAGGGAGTGGCTTGTCCTCACAGAGTAGGCACTCGCATTTCCGAGCTGTGAGGCCGATGTGTTTGCCGACCGATCGATGACAACTCTAAGCTTGCGGACAGAGCTTTTGCCCTTGCCAAAGCCTTTGAAGAAGGTGCTGTAAAGTAGCAAAATGATGCAAAAGAGAGTTGAACATATCACTTCACCTTTTTCAACGTTGCGCGTTCTGCATAGTCGACGCTGAGGCCTCAGCATCCGTTCATCCGAAACCGAAATGCTGCCTGCAGCAGTACATGCCATTGCTCCAGGTATCGCACTCAGCTTAAAGGGAATCTTTGCTTTTGTAGGAATGTGCTTGAAGCAGACTGGAGCAAGGAATCTTTCATGGGCCAAGCCAGCTTTAGGCTTAAGGGAACCAGAGGGTAAAGCACAGGCAAGAGGCTTCAGGAATTTTGGCTCAGCTACGGTTGCAATGGCAGGGATTGGATCAGAAGAGACTGAGGAGTGTGATGAGCGAGAGCAATGCGACCATGTGCAATGCAGGTTGCTGGGCAATCTTCGAAATGAGTTGGACCTTGAGGCTCAACCAGAGATGGCAGCAGAGCTGCCAGATACCCCACAGCCAAGTTCGCAGCCGGGGCGGGCTTCCAACATAGGACTCATATCCATGGCTGTAACAGCTATGGCTGCTGTGTTTGCCACGCTCTTTCTCATCGTTTGGACCGTTTGGAATGATGAACAGGATGAACAGGCTGGCCCTAGTCACTTGCGGATGCTGGCCGCTGTAGGGGGAGGAAGTGCAATTGGATCCTGCTGGTTGAAGTGCGGAGCTGCTGTGGGCAAAGGAATCCACACTGCTGGCACCTTCATTGGACGGTTCTTCATCAGCGCAGGGCAGTGCATTCATTCGATATTTTCTTCGGTGAACCAAGGATTTGGGGATTGCTGTTCAACAGTGGGCCATCAGTTAGAGAAATGCCACTGTTCACATTGCTGGATGGCCTCTGGAAAATGCATCGGAGGATGTTGCACTGCGTTCGGCAATTTGATCAATGGTATTTTTGTGATCTTCGGGTCGACCATTTCCAGCTGCTGCGATGTGTTTGCAAACTTCTTCAGCAGTTCCTGGAACAGCTGTGGATATTTCTTAAATGACATATGCCCCTTTTGAGAAGATGTTTTTTTGTTGCCAGCACCAGTTCTGGCGGCAAATTTGACGTGGCCTCAAACCTGGGCTACAGTTACAGTTGAATTCTCAAAGCATGGCTTTGCTTCAAAGTGAATGGCTGACAGTGAGACGTGCTGGCTGTAACGTTTGGTTGCTGTACGGAATTGTTCAGATTCAGTTTGTGGGCTGGACTACATGTGTTTTGAATTCATTTCAGGATGTAAAGGTATCTGAAGGTTTTTGCGTGGTCGAGTTTCTTGCTGAAATCAAGCCTTTGCACACTGAGGTCGAAGAGCCACTTGGATTAATTCTCGTTCATGGCTAGAGAATGCCAAACACGAACATTGTTGGTGGATGCAGGCTCGTACAGCAAGAAAGACTTGTTTTGCAGGGCCGCAGGCACATGCGTGTTGTAGCGAATTAAAAACATGTTTTGTGCTCTTGAAATGCCTCCATCAGCAAAGAACATCGCGACGTGGATATGCGATGATTAAGGTGATCTCTATGAACTCTCGGGATGCAGAGGAAGCTACATTCCTGTTACTGCTGTGCGCAACCAAGCGGTAAGGGTGGCACCCAAACATCCTCACAATGTTTGGTGCCTCACAAAGAGTAAAGCGGATTCGTTGTGCCAGGCCTTTGTACTTGAATTGTCTAGTGTCAGGGAATCGTTTCGCTTGTTGGAGCTTGTTGCCACTAGGTTTCTTATTACGTCGTTTCGCGGCGATAAGCACCTGCACCAGTCAGTTGTTCTGAGAGACAGCTCAAGGAAAACAAGCACTAATCAATGTCCAAGCCAACCCCCCACATGATTCGTAAAAGAATGATCAGGACTCTAGATGTGGTCGATCATGCACAGTTTACAGCTTTAAGTCTACATCATTTGTGTCTTATATAAGACCCACTTGAAATTGTGCATTTCTAAGGGGCTGCAACTTATTACGAAAGCCAGCCAAAGGCTAGGCTGAAGGTCTGTTTTGCGAACGAAGTGAGTGCTAGGGGGTGTGGGGATGGGGTGGTTGTGTGGTGGGCATTTTGGGAAGGGTGAGCCCAGAGCCTGCTTGAGGAGAGCAAAGACCTTGCATGCGCAAAACATACAGTCTCCTACGACTGCCTTGCCAACTTGGTGACGCGAGTGATGCCACAACAGCTCAAGTTTAGACTACAGTATCTTTTTTTGCATCATCAACTGGACATGGTGGCTGATTTCCGAGTGCAGTGGCAAACTTGTCACTTCGAGTCAAGCCACGCAGGAAGGAGAGAAAATCATCGTCAGCAGCGGTAAACAGAGCGCAAAAGGGCACCAAGCAAGAAACTTCGACTCTTTGAATCTAGATCTCAGTAAATCACTGTCTTTCCATGCCTGCATATCTGCATCGACCAAATCCCAATGCTTTGCAAGTTTGTTCCACAAATCTTGCAAAAATGCTGTTTATGCAGCTTCACCAACTTCGGCATCCCAAAACACGGTAGCTGCTGCTTGGCTTGAACTGTCGATGCAGGTGTAGATGCAGAGTTTCTTGGTTGGTGCCCTTTTGCGCTTTGTTTGAGGGCCGTCTCAGGGCAAAACAGGGCACCTCCAAAAAGCGGGCTCTGGTGATAAGACTTTGACAAGCAGGGTGCGGCAGATGCATCTTCCAGCATCGAATCTTGCGGGCACCTGGTTGAGATGAGTTGTCGATCTTCGGAAAGACACTGTGCTGTACAGAGTGCAGAGAGCCGAAGAAAACCCCCAAGCTGGCCCCCCACACAGGTTCAGCCTAAGAGGTTGCACATGTCAGGGCAAAGGTAAATTTGGTAGATTCGGTAAATCGGTAAAGCCGGTAAATTCGACGCACTTGTAAACCCGACTCTGCGCATCGGAAGGAAGTTCGGTAAAGTCAATGCATCCGTGAAGTTGGTACATATATGGTCTTTAGATGTTTTTAGCCTTTTGCCGCGCTGTGGTGTCCTAGAGTGCATTAAAAACAGCAAATAGCCAGCAAAAACACCAGAGCAGCATGCGCATGTACATTTCCGATGTAGTCAAACCTGAGCCTGAATGCAAAACGCTACAAACAAGGAAACAGTCTTTTGCCAGCAAAGACCGGCCGGCCCACATACTCTTCGTTTCACATGCGCACGTGGATTTGTAAAAAACACAGCAAAAAAACACCAAAACGCATCCGCGCATCACTCAGCCCATATGCGTTCAGTTTTGCTTGACTCGGAGTCAGGGCCTGCGCATTGTTAAGCCTACATCTTGACGAAGTCTGTGCACCTTCTCGAAGAGAAGATGCGGATTTTTAGATGTTTGCCAGAGACAAACAGACTCTTGCTTGAACAGCTTTGGCTCTACCGTGGACGACTCAAGATTGGCTCGCATTGTTTTTTTCGCTGTGTGATCTGAGTCTTTTCTCACTCCATGAGTTTGGCTGCCCTTCTGAAAATCGCGAAATTTCGTTAATCTTCCGTTTTACCGTTTTACTCCTCACTTCTGTTACCTCGGAGTTATACAATTTCCGGCTTTACCCTTTTACCCCGCGCTTGTGTGTGCTCGACATTTTACCGCTGTGCTTCTTTTACCGCTTTACCGCGGGCCTTTGCAACGAAAACTCCGTAACCAGAAGACACACCGCGAGCCAGCGCAGGAAAAACCCTCGAGCCGCATTTCTGGGTTGGTGCCCTTCTGCGCTTTGTTTCACGGCGATCTCACGTCAAACAAAACATATTTGAAAACGTAGGTTCCAGTGCCAAGTTCCCCGGGCAAAGCAGGGCACCTCCGAAAAGCGGGTTCTGGCGATAAGACTTTTG